TTATGTCCGACCTTGTGACAGTTAAAACAGGATCCCTGGAACTTGCGCTGCTGATGCGCTCTCTGCTCCAGCTGGGGTCCCCTTTTATAAGGGCCATGATACTGCTGCTGATGTCCAGAAAAACCTCTCTTGTTCTTGCCCTTGTCCCCACTCTGTCCGGTGTTGGCCTTCCCTTCATTGTCTTTCTGGAACATAGAAGTCTTAATCTCCTGAGAAGTGGCAGCCTCAGCTACCTCCCTGACTGAATAAAATCTCCTCGACACGAGGTACCGTCGGAGATTAGGGCGAAGCCCAGCCCTGTCTGCCACATGCCTGTGAAATGTAACAGCTCCATGAACCGGCTCTCAAAATCAGCCACTGACATATCCCCCTGAGTCAATCGGGACAACTCAAGCTCCTTCCCAGTCCGTGCTGCAGAAGAAATGTACTGTCCATCGAAGAAATATATGAAATCCTCCCACGTGAGGGTCAGCCTCTGCTCTGGAGTGAACTGGAGTCGGTACCACCTCCCGGCATCTCCCTTCAGGCTGTAGGATGCCAGTCTCTGCTTCTGGACTGAATCTACACCGAGTATATCGCAAGCGAAGATAAGAATACCAACATCAAATTTTAGCATCAAATTCCTGCAAGTTAAGGCATTCAACACTACAAGAAATCCAATATTTAACGACCAAAATTAGTGAAGGGATCAGTTGACCGTCATTAATGTGTATGTAATAACGACGGGTTTTAAAACCTTCGTCGAGTGATTATAAATATTAGTAGAATGATGTGAGATGAGATAACGGTTTTCTAATCCCTTCATTAATTTGATACTAATACCGTCGTTATTGGGTCTCCTTAAAGACGAAGGGATCCATTACCTTCATTGATGATACTCCTAATCATAATAGGATGCTTCGAGTTTTGTGCGAGCTCTCATAGGCAATTTTAGACGCCTACAAGTGGCAGAGGGATAAAAAGACAAATGTACTCGTAGACAAATTTAAGTTGAGTTGTTTGCAGATTCTTTCCTTCTCTTTGCACATTTTTAATCAAACAATGCTAAAGCTTGTTATAATTGGATGTTTTTTTCAATCTTTGAAGAACTTGTTTTGTGCTATAGTTATAATACTATGGAAACTATAAAGCATAAGATAATTTATTAAATAATTATTTGATACATGAAGTTTATTGAATGATTGGTGATCTTTAAAAATGAAAGCAACAGTAATCAACTTGACCATAAAGCGAATCACATCATTTTAGTTGTCGTTTTTTAGTAATAAACAAATGGTACTTTATGTAGTAGAGAAACGAGAATGAAGCTTAATAATTAAAAAAAACTTATTTTTGATAGGGGTTTATGATAGCTTATTGAATTGTTGTGAGTATAAAGCTAGGTGTATGTTAGCTTGGGGGTATATGATCTCGGTAACATGAGAATGCTAAAATAGAACGAGGAGTATGGTGGTGTATGTTTCAGACTCAAGACTCAAGCTTGGTAGTGATTTCTATGGGTATTTTCGGGTTGCTTCTTCAACCATGGCGTGCATGGTATATTTACATATCAACAAACAATAGGCCACCCTCTTTTTATTGTGTCTCCTTACCACCAATTGTATTTGTCATGTCTCATATCTTCGTAATCGATAATATTGTTTTGTGCTGAATTATTTCTTTTTCCTTTTATGATGTTGTATTCGTTTTCTATGTTTGTTTGCGGCTCGGTTATTCTCTGAGATGAACTGTCATGATAGATTTACCTTAATATTTTTCCTTGCTATAGATGACTCTGTATTTCTTTTAATCGCATTTATTTTTGTTTGCATTGTTTCACTTATCACTGATTTTGTGGTTTAAGCTTGAGGTTGCTTTGAAGGCCTCTGAAAATGCTCAAGCATTACTTCGTTCACAGCATGAGAACACTTGAGAACAACTCTTTAAAGATGAGGAGTAGTTCAAAGATCTTCAGCTTCAGGTAACCTTTTTATTTCTGTCTCAAAGATATCTATTTGCTTTTTGAACTCTTTTTCAAGGGTTTTACTTTAGAAATGCTAGAATATGTATGAGATTAATCATATAGGAAATGACCTCAAAATAAGTTTTGTAGAACATAATGATGCACCATAGTATAAATGATCAGTTCCTCCAACTTGATCTTCATAATTTAATTAGTAAAAGGATGAGAATCTCGTGATTTGGGATTCTTGTGTATGTGTTTTACTAGTTCAGATGCTAAAAAGAAGATAACTTTTGATAGACAAGTAAAAAAAAATTGTAGCGAAAGCAAATATTTTCCATTCAGGTAAGAGAAATCAATTTGCTGCGTGAAAGCAATGTGTAACGTCGGGCAGAAAGCAAGCACAATTTTGAGGAATCTTAGGTTTGTGTGTCATGCATATTTTCTCATCTTGTTGTGTAGATGTCCATATACCTTATCAAAGGTGGTTTGGTTATAGGATTTGCTGAATTAAGGGAATTGTTGAAGAAAAATTCTAATTAGGTGTTGATTAATTCAATTTACCTGGAAATTTACTTAGTTTTGCCAAAAGAAAAATATATTGTTCTGTGCATTTATATGGTTTTAGTTGCATGTATATTACAGTTATTTTAGATTTTGACAGAATATCTTCATCCCAATCAAAATGTTTAGCCTTAAAAATATTTTCTGGGATTGGAGCAAGTGAGACCAGGGATTGTTCTGTGAATTTACTAATTTGATTCTTCCATTTGTTATGTTATTTTCTGCCTTTGTCAATTGAATGACGTTCTTACCAGGTATGTGATCAAACATTTGTCTCATGCATTTCTAATAGTATTAAATGATTAAACTCTTTTATGTTCCTTAATTCATCTCTTACCCTTAATCTCTACCAATGTTGCCATCTCCAGAAATCGCTTGGTTCAGTCCTCGGAGAGCTCAGTCTGCTGTCAAAACATTATAATCCCATAATCTCATCAATGGCTTCAAGTATGGCAACCTTAAACTCCTCGCTGAATCAAGCTCATCTCTCAACTATCACTCCTCAACAAGCTTTTGTCTCTATTAGTTATACGTTTTTTTCCTCTTCCCTTCAATTAATTTCTAAGGTACTTTAATAATTCACTGAAATCCATGATATAAATAACATTGTGCTTCTTTGCAGGACTTAATCATGGAAAAATCAATCATTATGTGTTATAGTGTGAGCACTCATTCTTACTCCAAAACAATTCTTCTGTTTATTTCCTCTCAATTTTACTTATTTGAAACTTCAACACAAATCTTAGTAAACTTAGTATTTTTTTCAATGAAATTTATATATTAAATTGAAACTTATGTGGTTTAAATACAATATCGATATCATTTCATGCCACTTGTTTGCAATTGGAAAGATGAAGTTGAATCTGATACTATTCGTTGGAAATAAACCAAGGAAGCATCACAATAAAAGCTAGTCGTAGGGAATCGAAATCTTTATAAACCCACGGAATCTCTATTTTGTCAATGCATAACTGGACCATAACATTTTGATCTTTATAAATCTTAGTTTGCATGTCCTTCACATTCAATCCAGGACAAGGGTATGCAAAATATATTTTTTAAATAATATTTCCCACCATTTTTACTGAAATTAAATTTGGCCTAACATAATTTTTCTCATATTTCCACCAGGTTACCAGGTAGAGCCTTAGCAAACAATTAGCACATATGGTTGAATAATGCACAATTCGCAGACATCAGAACTTTCTCAAGGTCTCCTTTAGCAAAGGTTAGGCCTTTTCCTATGAGTTTTACTGAGTTTCTCATGTTGAACATAAAAATATCTAATGGCTTCTCTTTGTTCTGTTGTGTTCAACTCTGTGGATTTGTTTTGTTGTGTTCAACTCTGTGGATTAACTCTTTATGTTCTGTCTTAATTCAGAGTGCATCCATACAGGTATATCAGTTCTTTTAACTATTTAAATTGAATATTCTGCCATTGGGATTTTCAGTTCCCATGTTTAATAGACTCTTTGTCAAGACGAAGAGAGTTTTCTTATGTCATTCTAGATCTCTATGATTATGTTTTCACTTTTATGTGCATTGTTAATAAGGTTCAAAGCTGTTATGGATGACTTTGTTTCCCTCTTATTTGCAGACAGTGGTCTGCTTTCCCTTCATGGATATTGTTCTGGAGCTAGGTACAACTGAACTGGTAATTTTCTAGAACTGCATCATTTCAACAGTGTCAATAAATCCACTTGACTCTCATTTGACTTCATTTTTTTCTGATTTCAACTTCATACGAACATCTTAAGGTTATGAATTGTTTGGACTTATTGTTTCGAAGAACTGTATTATGACAGGGGAAACTTTTATGACTTCACTTCTCTAGGTGAGTTTTCCTAACGTGAGCCATAGAAAATCTTTGTAACTGCTTTCAAGAACCCTTCACTTGCCAGAGCCAAAGGCATCTCACTGCAGGGCTTTTACATGTGGGTTTTGATACACTAGTTAGGAAGAAATTGGGTTATCAGAAGTATCCGATCTCAACAATATTTGTCTTCAGGGTAACTGGCTATGCTATTTAAATTTCGAAAAGTTCTTGGAATGATCAAATCAGTGCATGACAATAATATTTGGTTAATTGATATTTCTTAATTATGTGATTTTTTTTAAAAAATTTTAGGCTATTCATGCAAGATTAGGAGGGGGTAGCTCGAGTCTTCTTTTGACGATGATTAGAGATGAAAGAATGTGTCTTCCCCAAAGTTTTATTTTAATTTGTTTTAGATAGTTTCATGTATTTTTCTTTGGAACAATTAGGATATTAACTCTTGTTATTAGTATTGAATATTTGAGGATGATGGAGTTTTATTTATTGATGTTATTAATGAATGGAATTTTTATTTTTCCTCTTATTCATTATTGGGTATTTTTAATATATTTTTTGTTGTGAATCTTAGTGTCAGGTTGAGAATAATATGATAGTTGTCTATGAATAGAAAAATTATTATTAATGTATATTAGAAATTTTTAGTCTACAATGACGGTTTTATAAATCGTATTTTATTCATCAACGAAGGAAAAATACGTCATTAATGGGTGACTAATTACCCATTATAAAGACTTTTATGACGGTATCCAACCGTCATTAATTAGTCTTCAATGATGGAAAAATATCCCCGTAACTAATGGTAACGACGGGAAAATATCCCGTCATTGATGGTAACGACGGGAAAGTATCCCCGTGACTGATAGTAACGACGGTGATAATTACCGTCGTAAATATTAATGACGGTAATATGTTCCGTCGTTATAGACTCTATAACGACGGGTAGTATATCCCTTCGTGACCCTTTAGCGAAGAGGGCTTCAACGACGGGTGACGAAGGGATTTTTCCCCGTCGTTAGCATTCAATAACGAAGGTTTTTAGCTTTTTAACGAAGGGAAATCCCTTTGTTAAAGATGTAATTTCTTGTAGTGCCACTTATGGGCTGCAAGAGGGTCTGGTGACCCCTGGAACTCCGGTGCCCTCATCTTCTGGTACCTCTCTACCATACGGAGCCAAGTCTCCTGCTCTGTGGCTCTGCCTGGGACTGCTAAAGGAATAGCTGCAGGCGTGGCCTCTGGGGGTCTCTCTCTAACAGGAACGGCAGATATCCCCTGCTGCTGAGCTACCGGTGGTGGTGGTGTTCGTGGTGTTATATGGGTCGTCACCAACTCCTCAATAGCTGTCATCCGGGCAATGAGAGGTGCCATGATGTCCACCAAATACTGGGGAGCCTGCTGCGGCTCGGGTGGAGCCTGCTGAGGCTCGGACTGAGCTGGCTGCTGCTCTGATGGAGTCTGCTGTGACTCTGTCTGGGTAGCTCTCCTGGTACGAGGTCTACCACGCCCTGCCATCTCTCTGATCATAATAAAATAAGAGTTTATGAGCCAAAAATAGACTTCTATAAATAGCGTATCACAATACAATCTTCACAACATGTTAAATAGCTCACTAGATCGTGAATTTTGTCATCTGCTAAATTATTTTCTAATAGGAAGAAATGACAGAAAATGACCGTGCTGGTGATTAGAAATGACTAGGAATGGCATAAATCTTGGATTGCAACTTACAAAATTGTGAATTCTAGCCTTGGATTTTTTTTACTTGTGACGCCCCTGGGTTCACACAAGGCTGCAGTCCAAGGTAAAACCAGGAATGTCAAACCTGCCATGTACCACACCGTGCAATAACATGTTTCACCATCACAATTAACATCTATCTAGTAGAATCAATAACAGGTGTAGGTACAAAAGCAAGTAAAAGATGATACACGAAGGGCTGATGAAATGATAGTGATCAAATAAATATCTCATCATCCAACAAATGGAAATACATAGTCAATGTATGAATAAATAAACTGGAGTAGTCACAAGTCTCAAATACAAATATCTGACAAGAATAAATAAGGCACTCCGCCTTTACAAATTCTAGAATAATACCCTCAAATGTCTAACCACACTACAGTGGAGCCCAAAGAAAATAATACATAGCTAGAAAGTAAAGCTGAACACTAAAGTGGTCCGCTATCAACCTGCGACTCTCCGTGCTCCTGGCTCGTGACCTGAAAGGGGGAGGGACAACGAGCGTCAAAGCGCTAGCGAGTAACATCACAACCAACCCCAAGGGAAAAGGGCTCGTTGTTTATGAAAATTCCCCCCCCCCCCCCTTAAAAGAATTTTGTCCTCGAAATTTCGCTGTCGCATCGTAGAGATTAATAATATGAGAAAAGCACAAAAAGGAAGTAATCTAAAACAAGGAAACCCTCACGTACACATCTCGTATCATTAATTTTCCTGACTTGAAATATAAGCAACATTTAAACTTAACACTCTAAAATGCATGCATTCTCACTTAACCCCTAATTAGACGGAACTAGTACGTCGGGCAAAAAATCCAAACAAGGAACCCCTCATATATATACCATATGTTCCGAATAATTAAGAGCTAAGTGCTGAATGACCTATTCTACCATTAAATATAAATGTGACTAAGCAACACATATAATCAAATCTATCAATGCATATAAGTACATTTAAATATCAACACCTTACCTGTTCAAACAGGTGTGGGTAGTCACGACGAACATCCTCCTCGCGCTCCCAAGAAATCTCTTCGGCTCCTTGCCGGTTCTACTGAACTTTCACTAATAGAATGACTTTGTTTCTAAGCTTTTTATTCTCCCTAGCAAGAATGCATACCGGAATCTCTACGATAGTCAAATCATCCTGAATCTCAACCTCTAGTGAATCAATCACCCTCTGTTGCTCTTCGTCATGCAAATGCTTCTTGAGCATCGAAATATGAAATACATCATGTATACTCGACATCGATGCCGGAAGATCTAATTGTTCGCGTGGAAAACTGTTTTCTTTTTCATTGATATGATTGTCATCTTGGGTTACAAAGATCCGGTCTTTTATAGATCCGGTTACAACTAAATCAAAGAAAAAAAATAAAAATTACAACTTTCCTCTTGTGAACAAATCGCAAGCTCCTGTTTTGCGGTTGCTTGCTTGTGTGGGTTCTTTGCCAACGCCGGGGTTAATCCGTGGACCACCGCGCGATCTAGATCCGGTCGGATCTACACGATTATGCGGGTATTATTCCACGAAGGGAATAATAGCCGGGAGGGATTAATCCACCAAGGGAATAATCGCTCAGATCTCGAGATCTAAGACCAAGCTTAGATCTGGAGTGTAGTCTCGTGTAGATCTCAGATCTGTTCTTTCTTCCTCTCGAGATCCTGCCTTTTCTGACGTGGATGGTCGCCGAGGATCAGATCTGAATGTGCAAGTCTTCTGGTCTTCAAGCTCCGAGTTCACTCTTCAATCCGGCAGAGTTTCGGCTCTTGAAAGTTCGACCTCCGAAAATGAACATCTCTAGGCCTATTTATAGGCTCTCAGGACAGTGGCCGCAAAAAGAGAAATGTCGGCCACCTCTGGCCACTGTCGGCCACCTCGGGGTGGCCGGCACTGTGCCTAGCCACCTTGAGGTGGCTCGGCTCATGGCCAAGCCACCTCAAGGTGGCTCGGCCACCGAGCCACCTCATGGTGGCTCGGCTAAGGCCGAGCCACCTTGAGGTGGCTCGGCTAAGGCCGAGCCACCTTGAGGTGGCTCGGCTTTTGGCCGAGCCCCCGCGGGTGTTTGACTTTTGTCGTTTTGCGTTGTCTCGTTTGTCCGTGTTTCGGTTGACTTGAGACTCTGATTTGATGATCTGATTTGGCAGTAAGTCGGATTCCTGATTTGGCAGTAAATCCGCTTCTGAGTTCGAGTCCGAAACTGATCTTGATTCGATCGCGATTCGTCCGAGTCTGTTCTCGGTTGGATGACTCGTTGATTCCTTAACACTTGGCTTGATTCCGAACGCGTATGGATGCATTCCGTCGCTTCTGTGCGATTCGTCGATCTTGTCGCCTCGTTGGTTCGTCGGTTTGTGCCGAGCTATGCTAGGGGACCTATAAGCAATTTTATATGCCTACAGGCCAAAGCCGAGACACCCTAGGTTGTCTCGGTTTTGGGGCCGAGACACCCCCCTCTCCCCTCTTTTTTTTTTGTCTTTTTCCCTCTTTTGTTTGTTTCCCTTTCCCATGTTTTGGTCTCATTACTTCTTTTGTTTTCCCCCTCTTTTCAAAATTCAAAAGAGAATTCTTTCCCTCTTAAACCTCTTCTTCTACTTCCATCCCTCCACCATTATTTCATCTCTTTCAAAAGCTCCGAACCCTCAAAAAAAATTCGGATTTTTGTATGCTCCTCCTTGGCCGAAAATCTTCACCTCCCACTAGGGTTTCTCCCACCTCTTGATTTGGGTAAGCTCCTCTTCACCATCCTCTATTTTTTTGATAAAGATTACATCTTTATACTTGTAATAGGCAAGGGATTGTGTATGCACCATATTTTGGGGGGTTTTGTGCAAAAAAAGGCAATATGGCCGAATTTTGGAGGGCTTAATTGCAAAATAGGGACTAAAATTCGTGGGGGTTTTTATGCAAAATTGGAACTGAAATTTTGGGGTTGGATTTATGTCCATTTGGTGAAACATCGTGAGGGGTGCTTTATGCAAGGGGATCAAAGAGTTATTTGAGGGATTAATTTGCAAAACAACCCATAAATGTTTTAGGGGGCTTATTTGCAAAAGGGGCAGCGAATTTAGGGCTGACATCTAGTGAGTTTTGACCGCGAACTCATGATCAAAATTTTGATAAAGGCATATGGAGATCAAACCAAGATTTTGTAGAGGGGCTTTTAT